ATTGCAGGTTATTACAATTAAATATGATGATAATTACACGTCGACATTGATTGTAATTTGTAGGCGTTAATGCGTTATTGGAATTACTAAATACAATCATGAAAAATTTAGCTATCTAATTATTGATAATATTTTCTAAATTATAATATGCCTAAATCATGATACAGCGTAACTACTATGACGATATTACAAGGTGGTAACGCCCGTGTTTAGATTTTATCTGAGTCGTAAAAATATTTTTGTTAATTTTATTGTATTTGCGGATATAACTTAGTAGATTAGTTTTAAATTACTATAATATAAAATCAACTACTAGCTGTGTATTACCCGACTTTAGCAGGTACCTAAAATTAATTTATTTCTTTATCGTTTTCCGTTTTGCTTTAGTTAAAATAGGTATAGTATAATACAAACATTGTAGCTTTTAATTACAATGAATATAATTTTATGATTTTTCTCTTTTTAATTCTGGACATATTTTTAAATAAAAAAACTGGGGACAGATTCAACGAATAGTTAAAATACAAAGTAAATCTAATATTGTGAAGATGGGTATTCGTTATTGCATGATATATATGTACAATAAAAATTGTTTAAGTTTAAGAAATAAATTCATAGTTACTACCTAGTTAGTAATAAAACTTTCATAGCTGGTACTGATTTTAAAATATCCTATAAACATTTTTTCACCTGCAGTTAAACATTTGAAATAACTCTCTGGCTTTATTTGTGAATAAGCTACTTATTGATTATTGATATAAATAGTTTATGAGGTATATCGTATACTAATTATAATAATTTATTATTGAACTAATAAGCCAGAGATTACCTATTTATATTGTTTATTAATATAGATTTACGTAGGATATAAGATTCTTATTAATCTTACCTATTATATTATTTTATTTTAGACTTTTGAGTACCTAATGAGTAATTTATTACTTTGTTGTTATAGGTCAGCAACTGTGAAAAGCATAAGTAAGCAACGCCGACATTTTGCTGTCATTTAAGTGAACCAAAAATAACAATAATATGAAGATGCGCGATAATTTATTGCACGATTGAATTCACTTATTTTCAATAGCACTTATAAGAATGTTATACCCGATTTTTTTGTTGTTTTCGTCTTATAAGTGCTTAACATAGAAAATTGACACTCATTAGTTCTCGTTTAGTTTCGTTGCTTCAATATTAAAATGAATCGATCCATTATGAAACTTAATGATAGAACTTAATTTGTATTCGTAAGTAGGTTTTTTTTTTTTTTTATAATAATTCAATTTTTATCGAGTTTTAATGAAGCTAAACGCGAACTTCTGAACATAGATTTGTGGTTAAAGTTCTTTTATTTCTTAAAAAGGTACCTACTTAGTTTTATTTTAATTTTTATCAAAGATGGATTTTGTTTTTTTTTTGAGTACCTAACTAAAAAAAGAATAACCGAAGATACTTGAAATTTTTACCAAATGCTTATATTATTGTTTTTTATTCACGATAGCATTTTCAAAATATTTTCATTATTTTTAAGCTATTTATAGGTTTTCAATTTTTTTTAGTTTTTTTCTCCTATAAATGGTGATTAAAAATATTTGCGAGGGTCGAAATTCTTAAAAATGTAACACAAGATACCACAAAACTTATTCTTATATCTGAATAAAAATATAAAACATAATTAGGCAAAATTTTTTTGACAATTTTTTCATATACATTTGAAGTTAAAATTTTGGTAAAAAATTCTTAAACACTTCTTTTTATACCTAAGTTTTGAAAATTGTATACAAGATTTTTCATAAATAGTTCACACTGAAACAATAAAATATAATTAATTAATATAGACAGTTAATTTTTTTAGAAAGTTTAAGTTCTAATTTGAACAAAATCAACTACCATGTAAACGATAAATAACAGTATTAATTATTTTGTTATATTTTAAAAACATTCGTAGGAATTTTTATATATTATATTATATTATTGTTATGAATTTTTCTGTAAATATTTTTAAATCATAACAAAATACTCGTAATTACAATTATTATTTTTTGTTTCACGACTTACACTCACTTAGAACTTGAAAAATTTGTGATCGATCGAAATTTGGTGCTTTAGATATAAGGTTCTAAATAACCTGTACTATTTGTCATACCTATAAAATAGAGTGAAAAATCGGTCTTCTTATTTTACTGTAATTCAAAAATTAGTATTCGTAGATAATTGAATTTTTCCAGTGTTAATATTAGTATTTTATATAGGATATGATACTATTTCAAAATATTTCGACTCTATCGGTAGTATTGGATTACGAGATTTCTAAAGGATTTTTTTTGGTTATTGCCTGTTGGCGATAAAAAAAATTACACTCGGTCGAAAATTATGAAAATTTAATAAAGTTTTCCATGGGCGTTTGTTATTAGAGTTTTGACGAAATTCATCAAAATCAGATTCACATATTCTTACTTTACCCAATAACATTTTTAAATTATTTTTACTATTTAGATTAATTTTAAGTTATTATTCACTTATAAAGATAAACCATGATGCTAATATAAATATAAATTATCATTAGCAATATATGTATATGTATATATATTATATATATATGGCATTATAAAATATATTTAACATAGATAGACTGACTTACTTCAAAATGGTTTTTTTTTTTTTGTTGTTGAATTATTATAGAGTTCCAATTTAACACATCATCACAGAAACTTACTTGACCACTTTTTAAAAATTATTTCTTGACAAAAATACAATTTGATTGAATGAAACAAACAATAATAATCAGTAATTAAATCTAAATCACAATGATTAATCTAATATTGTATTATTTATTACTATATACTATTATTAAAAATAAAGATCCTGAAATAATATCAATAAATCCAGCTTTTAATCATCATCATTATTTAATTATAATTAATAATTAATACAAATTATAAATGTAGTATATTATTTACATCACAACTTAATAAAATATAATATAATATACAAAATTAAAAAAATATAAGTATTTTTAATGGCAATAACAATTTAATGGAATTTTAATAATATTGTTTTAAGTAGTATTTTTAAAATTTCAATCATATAATTGTATAGGTAGTCTTTCGGTTTAAAAATTTAAGATATTATAATATTATTAAATTTCACTTAAACTAATAACCTCAATTAACTAACAACAAAAATAATACTTATATATATATATATATATATATTCAATTAATTATTCAACAATAGTAGACATATTAATTTAGTTTAAAACTAATAATAATTCATTTAATCTGAAAAATAAATAATTTAAGTCTTTATATTTAATTGTCTATTATACTTTATAAATAATACATTAATTACCTAACTTAACTAATATTACACAAATAAATGAAAAAAAAAAATATGAAATAAAAAATCACAAAATACTTCATATTATTAATACACATTTAAATTTTACAGACATACAATAATATACCAAATTTCCCAATCACCAAATCAATTTTACTAAGTAGTTTTAAAATTAGAGTGGATTAACCTATCATAAAATTTAAAGGTAAGATCTAAGTAATTTTAGAAGCTTTTATTAATATTTAATTATGAAGCAAGTTGAACATTTTAAAATTTAAAATTTAAAAAATATATCAACTTGCTCCAAAATTAATATATCAAAAAGCTTCCAAAATGCCTTAGATATAAATTTCATAATAATTATAGAACAATTCGCTCAAATTTTAATAACAACAGTGTAAAATGGAATACTAGCTGAATTATCAGTCACTGCTGGGTTAAAGAGAAAAAATAAATAATTGAATAATTATAAAATACATTAAAAATTAATAGTTAAAATAATGTAATATAACTATTAAGTGTTTAGAAATAATATAAAATGGAGAGTGATTTGAGTTTTATAGTTTTACTTATATTAATAAATATTGGGAACATTGCAAATATTTAACACAAAAATATAAATAAATACAATTTCAATTAATTTGGTTATTAATAGAAAACCCATGCTGACAGCAGTAGACTTAGTGAAATAGTGAGAGTTATGATTATGTATACATATATTTGGAGTAGATAACACACGTCACAATATAGCTAATTGCTACATAAAAAATGAATATTTCTAACAATTTTTTGATTTAATTAATAACAATTTTAGAATTTTTTTTTTCATGAAATGACTTATCAACACACTGAACACTTGTATTAAAAAAAAATTAATTTATTAGACCTTCTATCACTTCATATTTTTATAATAAATGAAGATTAAGAATGTAATATTTTTATGTACTTAGTACATTTTTTAAGTCAAATAACACATGAGAGTATAGTAATTTCTTAAATATTTAAAAATTTTAATAATATATTAGACAATTAGACATTCCATATTCTTATCTTAATGTTTAAGTTTGAAAAATGGGTGGAATGATAAATGTTACTTAACAGTTTAAATAACTTGCAAAAATTAATGAAATTAGAAACAATTATAATAAATTATGTGAATATTTAAAATTAAAATTAAATTTTTATAAAACCAATTAGTATTATTCTTTTTGACAATTCTTAAAATTATCTAAATGTCAATATTTCAACAATATAATTGTGATACTACAATATCTATTAGGTTTAAAGGTTTCTTCATTATTGAAATTTAAAATAATATTTTTACATTCAATGTATTAATATATTTTTTTTTTATGGAAAAAATATTATTAAAAACTAAAGACTTAGTCTTTATTTAGGGCAATATACTGTTACTTTTTTTTATTTGTACATTTTACTGAAAATCTATATTTTACCATACAATTATTTTATATCTTTAATTTATAGTTTAAAAAAAACTTAATTTCTCCTCCAAAAATTCATCATTTTGTTGATATCAACATGTTTTATAATTAATATCATTGACATATATTGACAAGATGGATTATGGCAGTTTATTTATTTCATTTAATATTTTACCTTTGATTATTTTAACATACTAATAATTAAAGACAAACATGTCTTATGCTATTATTTAAATGATTTTCCTTTGATTATTGAATTACTTATTTGGTTTCCTAATAATATACTCTTTTTATTATTAATAATAAATATTGAGTAGATACATAAGCGTATAATAAAACTGAATTTGTTAAGCTTATCATCCTTAATTTTCAAAATAGAATTATACTATTTTAAATGCATATACTATTAGAGACTGAATATTATAACTTTGTTTTCACTATTTAGTTTTTATTTAAATATTTGATTATAAGTCGTCATCATTTAGTACTATTTTTATTCTCGAAGTTAATGGAAATACTGATGACGAACATAGACTTGAACCACTATAATCATCAGTATTTAATGAAAATACCATGGCTCCTCCTAAACCTAAAGAAGTGGAAAATTCTGCTTTGTATGCTAAACTATTTTCATTATCATAAGATATCCAATCATTATTATGATATGCATATGGGGTACGGGTATCATGGTCAAAAATAGTTGTGGCGTTTTTATGAGATATAAATTCACACATTTTTGGAAAAGTTATAAAACCATCTTTACCAATACCAGGTCCAGAAGTTGGTGAATCAAAACCATTATTGGCTTTATTTATTAATCTAAAAGAGAATAATAATATTTTAATAGTTATAGATGATTTAAGGGATATAAACTTACTTAAAAGAATGTCCATAAGTAGGCATGCCAAGCAAAATTTTTTCTTTGGGCATACCTTTTGAAATCCAATATTGTATAGAAGAATTAATATTTAAATTCTTTAAGTAACCAGTTTCATTATGTGAAGAAAACAAAGGTGAATTTGGCCCAGTTAATGGGAAATACCACTGGTATGAATGATAATCATAAGCCATAACATTAATAAAGTCAACAAATCTTAAAAAAATAAAAAAATACATCATTAGTTTGAATATTTAATAATAGTAGTATAATAAGCATTATTTACCTTGCTAATGAATAAATTTCATAAGAATTATCAATTATATTTAATGGAGCAGCAACAGCAGCAGTTAACAGAGAGTCTGGTAGACGATAACGTAAAGTTTCCAATAACTTAGCAAATCCATATTTTTCTTGTAAATTTAACAAAGGCCATGAAGGAAATTCCCAGTCTATATCAATACCATCCAAGTAAAAATCATTGACAACTGATACTACATTATTGACAAATCTGAAAAAATAAAAATATTTAAATGTAATAATTATTAAGCTGCTTATTAAACTATTGAACTATTTTAAAAACAATTTATTTTATTTTTTTTCCATATTAAATCATGATAACCTAATTGAATAAAAGTTTATATTAGTTCTAATAATTCAACATCAGTTAAACTTTAATTTTAAATTAATTTATTTCACAAAAACCTAATGCATAATTATTAATTTATTCTAATGAGTATGATTCATTAAAATATTTTTATATTAAAGAATATTATTAATTATTTGATAATTAATTTATCTGTGTTAGGTAATAAGTATACAATCAATTACAACAATTAATTCATAAATACCTATGTTAAATGAAATAAGGATACATTTTTTTTACAATACATACTTGTCCAAGTTATCTTTATTTGCAACAACACCAGGTAATCCTTCATTTGAGTGTGAACCATTTGAGAAATGTATTATAGATAGTAATACTTTTAGTTTTGGGTTTTTTTCACGTAATTTCACTACTTGTCTTAAAATCTGAAATTACAAAATTGGATTATAACTTAATCACTAGAAGATTTGTGTTATGTTTATTAAACACAATAAAAATATTAACTATTATGGGTTTTAAACCATCTTCCAATAACGGTTTAGTAGTCTACATAATATAATATTATGAAACATCATAAATGAATATTTATTATGATTTATTTTCTATAATATAAGTTTATCTCTATTCATTCAAAAATCACATCTCAACAATTCATTAGTTGTACATACTATATATACAAAACTGTTTTTTTTATTATTGAAAAATTTATATTGTTTAAGCTATAAATTATGTCACAAGTCAGTAATGTAGACAATATTATATTAAAATATAAATTTGTGTGTATTGAAAAAAGTGTTTATTTATAAGATTGTTAACTAAATCAATTAAAATCTATTGAGAGTTGACAGTCATAATACTTGTAATAGTACCTAATGATATAAAACATCTTACCTCCATATCAAATGAGCTCTTGAAGTAAACACTGTTATTTTGAACTTGAGCAAATGCTACTATTAAATGAGTACACAAAGTAGCATTAATTTGGGCAGGATGAAGGGTTTTACTTGTATTTTCAATTGGTATAGAATAATAACAGGCCAGATGATATGTCTTTTCAATGCGTTTGTTGAGATTAATTTTTTCCTTAGCAGTCCAGTATGGTTTATAGTTTGATTTTGCAGCAATAGCAAATGTGTGAGCACGATAAGCAGCAATAAATGAATCTGAAATATGTTCAACAAATTCACCATGAAATTGCAGATCATAAAACATTATTATAATTGATAATAAAATTTACTTGTATATTTTTGGGGACCATAAAGAACATAGTCCATAGGTGTATTAAGATCATTGGAGTCTTCAAATTTCATCCAGGATACATAAAACATCAGAACTACTACAAACACCACAAGAACAGCTAACCCAATTAAAACCATAGAATGTATGATTGGCTGAACATATTTCCTAAAAAATTAATTTAAGATGATATAGGTATGTGTAAATGCTTAAGAACTTAATTAATTAAAAACATTACTTTTTTCCATTTAGCAGTTCATACTGAGGTTCTGAATTTCCAAGAGCCATTTTTCCACACTAAAACTAAAAAGGAACTAAAAACAGCACCTCTTAATCGTTTACTGAAATAATGAAGAAACAAAAGATTGATAAATGTTTATTTATTGTTAGACAAAGTAAAACAAAATATAAGAAACATGTCAACAAGTAAAATACATTATTATAACTCCAAGGCCGAGACTTCCTTATCCACCACTTCAACCAATTGGATGTTAGCAGTATTAATTATTACAGTTTATAATATTTGTATAATTTACAATATTATTAACAATTCAATCATAATATTATTACAAATAACGACAAACGAACAGATGATTACATTACATGAACTTTGAATACGACCACAAAATATAACTTATATAACAATACGACAGGACAGGATACTTTCTGTCTATCTCACTATCTGAAGTCTATTTAACTTTCAAGTACTGTTTGATAAGTGTTTTAAGTACCTACCTATTTAGTATTTTACCATTTCTTCAATTATTAATTGATAATAATTCTTTAAAAGTTTACTTCACACACACACATGTATATATATATCTATGTAATATCTGTGAGCTTATCACAACCACACGACTTGATCATTTGATACATGATAGTTTGTTGTCAGTTGATAACGACTGGGCATATTTCAAGTATACAGTATACCTACACATTATACCACTACCGTGGAACCTTAACCACGATGCCTGTGTGAAAAGGTGGAAAACTTAGATAAATGTATATTATTATATGTTATGACTTATAAACTATGATCCAAGTAATACAACATGACAATATGCACTACTGCACCAGAGACTAAAATAATAGGTTACATATTATGCCTCATGTAATCGATACATAATTAATGGTATTACAAATAATATATTATAATATCTTAGTTCTTATTCCGTGACATACGCTAACTTCATTGACTCTATAGTATTACACTACTTCACTAGAATATCAATAATATTATGTTCTAATGAGCAAATATACATAATATACACATATAGCAACAGGCTGCAGCTACGTTATTCAAAGTTTAAGGCTGTTAGCGTGTTATGATATAAGCACCACGATTTGAGATAGACTGATAGATGCTAAACACACTGATAGTATAATCACAGAATAAATGATAAGTATGGTTTTAAGTTAAAAAACTGATAACGGCAATAGATTTCATTGAAACGGTTTGTCCGGCTCATAGCCACCGACAATCGGCATTCGATACTGGAAATGTTTCGGTTAATGCTTAAGTTTTTACGCCAGTTAACAGTTTCATAATTTAATGCTGTCGGTAATAGTGCATACATTTATACTTAAAATTTAATTAAAAATTATTATTATATAATGTTTTCTATATCATGGTAAAATATTTCGTAAATAACATTTAAAACCTCAGTAAATAGAACAATTGTACTGTAGTTTGAAGTTCTTTTTTGCTTTTTCAATATGACTACTATGTACGGAAACGGTATGAAACAATTGGATGAGCGGCACGTGCCTACTAAAGTCCTGAAAATGGAATGGTCAAACAAAATGGATCTGTTGGCAATAGCTAAGGAACATGGTAAACAACTATGCACAATAATAATTTGATGAATGTATATTTTGTTTTTATTTTATTGATTAGTTGTGTATATATATTTTAGGCGAGGTGTCTTTACATCGTCTCACTTGGCAGCGAGTCTGGTCCTTGGCTGCCCCAAAAGATAAGACATTGGTGACTGCTTTGGCTTGGAGACCCGATGGAAAACAGTTGGCTATAGCATATGATTCACGTGAGTTGTATTTATATATTAAATATTTTATACTACCAATGGCATATAACAGATCTGTTTATATATGTTTGTTTTAGGTGATTTATTATTAGTGGATGTAGAAAATAAAGACATCGCTTTTAGCAAAACAACGGAGAGTAAAGTCACTTCTTTGGTATGGGTGCAGCAAGAAAGACCTCAGAAAAAAGACACCATTGATTCTGTACTGATTAAGGTTATTAGAATTTGGTTGTTATTCAGTATTAAAGCTTGACAAATTATGCATTTATAGATTAACGTTTATTATTTAAAATGTAAACATATGATAAAATAAAATTTTTCTTCAGTTCTCTATTTGTTCAAATTACAGTATAGGTATTAAATGTTAAGAATGTACACAATTTCACTAAACTAATAATTCATATTACCCAAGTTCTTTTGAAAGTAAAAAGTAATATATTTAATGGTCATTTCAATAATTTACTTTTTAAATGTGCAATGAAAAACAAAAAAATTAATATTTAAATTTTAAGTAAACATCTCTCGATATGCAAAGCATAAGTTTATATTTTAAATCCAGATTATAAAATTAATATGCTTTTTTTTTAATTTTCAAATATTTGTTTCAACAGCAAGTGAATAAATGTTCAATGTCTGACCCATTGTCTAATTGTGTTTATTTTCATGTTATATTAATTCTTATACATTTGATTTAGATGAATGGTCTCGATTATCTTCCAAAACTACAAAGCTTGGTCCTTCGCGATACACCTGAAGAGGAGAACAAGATACCTAAAATACAAGACACGTTGAATTTATTGTTAGTCGGCATGGACAACTGTGAAGTACAAATATTAGCACTGGGTATATTTTTGTGCGGTTCCATTAAATTGGCTGAAGTATTTAAAAAAGAAGGCACCGTGTTAAACATACACATGCCAGTAGATTTCAGTTACCTATATGTGGCTATTCAATATTACTACGGTAGTATAGAAATAGTGACGATTAAATTACAAGACTGCGACACGTGCTGGGACGATGTTTATGATTTGGCATTTAAACACGATCAGTTGCTGTCGTCATTAGATTATTTAGATCAAACGATGAAAAACATACTGGAAACGTGGGAACACGTGTCGTTAATGGAAATGGAACTGAAACTGAGTTCTTATTACCCAGAAGACCCGGAAATGGTGTCGACCGATCTGTTGGAACTGCTGATCTACGGCATAATATCGGAACGCATGGACCAGTTCCTGAAAAGAGATTTGACCGACAAGGGCATTAAAAAAATCGGCCTGTCGATCGAGTCGAGCCACACCAACGTTCAGAAATTGGTAGTGAACCAACTGTCCGAGGTGACCAACCAAATTTTGTTTCAACTAGTGGAGATATCCGGAATGTCGCTGAAAAAATACGAATGCCTCGGGCTGACGGAGAACAGCGTGAAGAAAGCTCTGCGGTCGGCGAACGGGTTCTTGATGAAGTGCAACGAGGTGCAGATCGTCATCGAAGAGTCGCTGACCCGGTACAAGCTGTTCTTCAAGTGGCTGTACGGCATGATGATTAAGCTGAACGACGAGAACTCGGCCAACGATCCGTCGCTGTCGGACACGTCGCAACAGGAGCTCAACATGCTGGCCGAGTACATAAACGGGCTGGGCGAGACCGGGGCGAAAGCCAAGGACTACAAACTGGACCGGGTGGGCCAGTATTTCCTGGACGGGGACCTGGAGTGTCCGTACGACGCGCGTAGCCAGTGGTGGTCACTGCTCCAGGACAACCCGTGCATGGAGGAGAACGAGCTTATTTTGTCGGCCCCCCGGGGCCACTCGCTGACCCGACAGTTCGCCGTGCTCAAGGCAGACCTGATGGACATATTCGCGCAGCGCAAGACGTTCTTCGACAAGACGTTCGTGATGTACGACAACGTGCCGTTGGAAGGGCCGTCGGGGCTGTCGCACGGCCGCACCCGCGTCAGCATGGTGGACCTGCCCAATCACAAGCTGTTGGTGTGCTGCGTCCGAGAACTCGGCGCCCACGACTTTGGGTTCTACGAACTGATGGCGTACGGCGACACGCAAGAGGTGACGCACCGCAGCACCACCGTGTTCTACTCGTGCGACGGCGTCAAGCAGAACGTGCACGACGTGCAGTTCTACTCGCCCGACTACGTGTCCGTGCTGACGGAAACGCTCGACCGGGCGACCAACAGGTTCTCGCTGTTCATACAGCTGTCCACCAGCAGCGTGCGCAATCACTGTTCCACGGACGGGCTGACCACGTGCCGGATAGGCCAGCCGAGTGCCGACAGTGGCAGCGGCGGAAGCTGTCACACGCTCAGCGACTACACGTGCCGCGTGGTGGAGAACATGGCGGCCTCGAGTTTCGCGGTCAGCGGTACCCGGAAAGTGGCCGTGTTGTTGTCGCACAGCCGGCACAAGGTCCGGTTGTTCGAGATGGAGGTGGACGACGAAGAGGACGAGGACGAGGATAGCGCGATGGACATCACGCGGGACTCAAACATGACGGACGAGACTGGGTGACATCCGCTTAACCCTCGGTCAACCGACAAGCCACAGCCGTCACCCGTCGCGGTGCTCGAGACGATAACGCCAGATCGCGACCAGAGTACGTCGTGTGCTCTTAAATTGTCTATAACTATTATCACCTAGCTCCTACTTGTAAATTATTATGTTGACGAAATGTGCACGTCGGAATAACGCGCGTATTATATAATATAATATTGTATAAATAATATTTTTATACCTATTTCATAATATTATAGTCTTACGCATGACAAATTAATAAATTTAATTAATAATTTGTCATGGTCTTACGTTCGTCCTCACAGAGTTGTGATACATTCAAACTAATAGTCTCTAAGCATATATATATAATATTTTTGTAATATTTTTTGTTTATATATTTTTTTTATACAGTTAAATTATTCGTATTTTTTTTTACATTCACTATATAAAAACGGAGAAAAATGAAGGAAAATAAATCGGAACAGTCGTTCTCCGACGAGGAACTACATTTTTCATACCGACGAACTGTGTTATTGCATCCGCTATACGTACTACGCCTTCGTTTCTCCGCTATTTTTCACTTGGGTCGCTTCTTTTTCCAACGTCGGATTGTCAATGCCGTGTTGAAACATGTTTTCTTTCATTATGTTGGTTTTCCTGTACATCTGTCTGTCCATCGACACGTCTTCGTCCGAGTAATCTTCTGAAATCATTCGCACACGTCATACGCAGGTTATATTAAGCCAATCATTGCCAAAACAGCCGGTGAACATTTTTTATTTATAACGAGTCAGTTGGTTTATTACCTCTGAAGTGTAGCGTTCTGTTACTATTTTTGTATGCCGTTAGGTAAAACAGGTACAGCAACAGCAACAGCAGCACCAACACGCTCAAGACAGCCGCCACTCTTATGCTGTTGACCTGCGGATATACGAGTACATATCGTTAAAATAATCAGTACAACGGTATGTGATTTTGTTCTCAAATCTCATAGGTTTGATTATGTGTTTGAATTTTACAAAAACTGCGCGAAATATTAAAAATAAGAAAGGTTTAAAAACGAATTATTAGTATGGTTAATTGAATAAATATTTAAATTAAAAATTTTAAATTCGTACCAGAATATTAAATATTTTAAATAAGTACCTACATATCAATTTTAAAGTGTGCACGTTTTTTCAAAACGGCAATTCGTTAGAAATTTACTCTTTTTTTTTTTTTGCTCGTGCTTGGTAAACGTAATAATTATTAACTACCTAGCTATAGTCAAATATCTTAATATCTAAGGTGACCTGTATTATAGTTTATACCATCTTTATTGTTTTAACATAATATTAAAGTATCTATAATATCATTATTATTAGTTAATAATAAGTTATAGAGTACCTACGGTTTACAGGTCATATAATATTCTTATAGTATAGGTCAAAATCAAAATTAAAGAGCAGAATCGAACAGAATGAAGACGCACAATCATATGCATTTATAAGATCATTAATTTTAATAACCAAGCTATTTTGAAAACAGTGAAACTGCGATCTACAGCACTACAAGATCAAACGATAAGTAACTAATTAATTTGTTTGTTTGTGCTACTATCATCTTCACTGGTATCTAAATTCTTTCATCGTTACTTAATTATCATATAAGTACCTATATTGCAAAACAGTACACTACACGTATTTATTATGCACACCAGAAATCAATGCACGGTGAAATTTAAAATGTATTATTATCATTGATGCAATAAATACAGTGAGAATTTTTCAGAGATCTAAGTACTATTCTTCATAATATCTTTTAAAAATTATGTAATGCTTAGCTGTGAGTACATTTCAAGTATACCTATACTCTATTGCTCTCCCGCCAAACCATCCTTTCCTTATGTGCGTCGATATTTATTAGGTATCCCTTGTTGTAGCCTATAGAGTTCAGGTGTATGGTACTTACGTATTAACTGTCAAAAATATAATATACTATGAAAGCATTAAAGTTGTGTATTTTTTTTTTATCTTAAACGTTTGTTAACTTAAACAAAATTTAAATTTTATCAACGTTTGTACAATATTTACGTAATTAAGTAGCAAAAATACGTTACTATTGATCAATTATCATAATAATTCATAAAGTAATAATATAACACATATATATATATACATGATTTTTAATGTAATATCTTTATAATAGTTTAATCTTTAATAGACATCAGTCGTTAGTGATAAGATAACATACTCTCAGGTAGATAAGTAAAATATTGCAGTGTTAAGAATATAATATAGTACACGATGCTGTATTACAGCGTTATTAAGATAATGATTCTAATGCATATATATCATTATATTATAATATGGGTATAGTGATGTTAGAGTAATTACCGTATAGTCGTTTTCCCAGAGGTCTTTCCATTCCTTTTTTATTTCCAACTGTACCGACCTCGCCGACAGCGATATGTTTCCTAGATGTTTACAAACGCACGTGTAGATCCCGCTTTCTTGAGCTGTTACTTGCTAAAGTGCGAAACACTATCGTTAGTTCGTTATAAATAAATTAGCGTATTGATATAATTAATCGATAAAAATAAACATATAAGACAGTATTTTTGACTTATCGGGAAAGATATATCTCAATGGGTAGATCGTATATCAGTTTAGAGTGTGCTCTTATAAATTATATTATTATCTAAAAATCAATGGCATATCTACTGTTTTTACAATACAATGGGGGAAGGGATTACATTTTTAATTCAATTTTGAACATAAAAGGTATTCCCCTCTCTGCATAATTTATGTTAATTGATTTCTTGATTTTTTTTTTTTTTTTTTGTACTTTACTGTAAAATTTATTTTTTATTGTTATAGTTACAATGATTGTATAAATACATAAAAAAATCCAAGGCCCGTTCTAGGCGCGATTCATCTATTTCCTTTCTCTAAAATAGGCTATATTATAGCTACACGCTGCAACACTATTAAAATAATTTCGTTAATCGTAATTAAATAAAGAAAACTTCTCTTTCTATGACGATTATTAAGAAGGTATTTGATTTTTTAACTATAACTATATACATATTACACAGAGAACTCTAATCGTATCTAGCTCGTCGATATGTGTTAGTCAAGGTACATTTAGATTAATTTAATGAAACATTTTGGTATAGGCTAGATGCTAGATTTGTTTCAAAAATGTATTTTTTAAATGTTAAAGAATACATATGTAAGATAGTGACAAGAAGCGTCTTTTAAGATTTTAGGAATGTTTATTGTATAAAATAATAATACAATATTTTTTAATCTAATGAAAAATAAAGACATGGATGTTTTATATATTTAAAGGAGGTATCAATAAACTGGTATGAGTTAGATTTGTATGTTATAGACTTATACTAAATTTTGTATCGAGTAATTAAACTCATCTTATTTTGTGTGGTTTTAAATTAGTTATCTAAAATGAAAAAAATTAAAATAGATAATTAAAAATACGTATGCATTATCAAAAAACTATCGGTATTAACCCGAACCTTTATTTTATAGTTTTAAGAACCGGAACAGGAACCGAAAATATAATAAAGATTCCAGTCTCTTGATTCATGAATATCAAATAGTATATTAGTATATTACAATCTGCGAGGCTATGAAAATGTGAAGAACTACTAAATTAAATTCCTCCAGTCACGTCGAATACATACAACAACGTTCCATTTTGATACGTTCAAAAGTCGTATACAAAAAACTTTTTCAAGTCCAATTATAGGTATCATACAAATTACATAAATACATAATATACAATAAGTTTAAGAGCACAATGTGCGATTACATTATTTATATAATACATATGGAACTTTTGCAGATAAAAAAAGATAGATTCATAAAACCCATTTCATTGCGAACTTTTGAATAAAATTTAATTAAAAACGGAATCGAGTTTTAATTATTAATATTTTGATGAGGGGAGGGGAAATGAACAGGTAGGTATACAATCCCTCATACTTCTGTTTTTTCCTGAAGTGGGTATGATCGAAAATTTTTGAATACGAAAACTATATATATATTCTATTTCCGTATATGCATGTACATACCTACCCAATATTGTGTATATATGTGTATTATATAAGATGAATGGTGCGTAAAAGCTAATGAGGCTAACATGAAACGAAAAAACGTCTTATTTCTTTATTGATTGTAATGATTTTTAATCTTTCATTGTCAATTAAAAACATGTAAACTAAATAAATGTAAGAAAAAAATAAAATTTAAAAATAATACCTATTAAAAGCTTTGATAGTAACGTTTCGTTTAAAATAATCGAATAATGCCTAAATCGACTCTTTTTATTTTAGCCGCTAGTAGGTACACTGTTCACACTGATATATCAACGCAGTGTAAAAAAGGTTGTAATATAATAAAGAATAATAGCGCTACGGACCTTAATGTAAAGCGTGCCGGTGAGGACTTCGTATTTGAACTTGTCGCTGTTAGGCACGGTGCCAGGCCCGATGATCTGGTCGGGTTTCATCCACCAGAACTGGAACCTGTGGTTTTCGTCGTTGCTGGGACACTGGAGCACGGCCGTCTCGCCTGGCGACACTTCGATGATGGTGAGTTGGAACGGCAGCGAATCCTTCTGGTTCTCGCCGTTGCCGTCGTGGTTCGAAACTCCTGCTCCGACAGACGTTGGCTTGCCGGCGCAACGGCCGACGATCAACGCGACGACCGCGAAAAATGTGCGCAGACACGCCACGGCTTTGGACGCTAGCATTGCACTATCGCTGCCGATCTGTCTGTAAGTGAGTGCGGGTGGGCAGATTATCAGGTAAGTACTTTACACTGCCGATGGTTTATCGTGGTCGGACTCGGAGCGGCGACGGCGGAGGTATGGACCTGCGGAAAAACGCGGTTAATACGATGCGTAAATTATAATGAAATAATATTATATACAGAGGTTGTATACACGAACACGAATATACGATTTATGTACCTAAATATTATAAAATTTATGTAGCGCGCAGGTGTTTTATGGGCGAACCACGAAATTCTTCGATCTGTGATGTATTTATATAGATCGTAGCTATCGTTAGTCTAAATAATAATAATCTGTAGGTAGATTTCGGTCGTCGTCGAATAGCGGGCTGCGACTACTTATAATTATTATTACTACGTTGTACGCACGGTCCACACGAATGTCGAACCGTGGTCGTAGTAGTACGCGCGCGCCACTGAAACCGAAACGCTACTGCAACAGCTCCTTGGTCCGAGAGAGCCAGAGAGGCGACAGACGCCGCAGCATCGGCGTCACAATAATAGCCAATAGGCGTTGTGCTACTCGCGACGGCTACGTTCGAAAATAACTCGTAATTTTTTGTTTTTTTTTTTTTTGTTTTGTTTTTGTTCTATACGCGCGCACAGCAGTAGCTGAATAGTAGTCGCGAGGCACTACAATATTATTATTATTATTATTATTATTATTATCATCATCATGTACGCCGCCGGTTATAGCGGCGACGTGCAGTCGAGGTATAGGATACGCTTATAGACTTGGGTTGATACCCGGCCAATTACGATGTTTTGTTAAAGCACTACACGGCGGCGTCGACGACGATGGAAAACGAATCCGAAAAAACTTATCGCCGGGCGGTCCCGTACAATATTATTATTATTTATTATTATCTACGGGCGCTGTATTTGCTATACAGTCGTCGCGAACGGAGACGCATTGTAGGACGTGATGTCGCATTACGTCTGCGATGGCTTTACCTGCCTGCAATATAGCTGTATAATGTGTATATACGTTTATTGCAGTTGTATTGGACGGTAATGTCTATCATTACTGGTTCATTAGCTATTTGGGATAACGCAACCTTGTGTCGTTATGATCATTGAAATCGAAAATCAATTTAAAACTGTATACATAATAATATTATATAGGTAATATATATATATATATATGATATGTGCGTATTTGTTTGAAGGTAGATGTGTCGAGCGGAAAAGCAATTGTTTTTTGATTTTTTTTACTTTTATGTATAAACCAATATTATTTACTTTATTTTCTTAGTTTCGGCGTGTTTAAAAATCTAATTTTAATAATATGTTTTAATTAGCAATAAGTAATAACCATCGTTTATTCCGTGGACAGTATTTCACTCGTTGCCCTTGTGTCGCGCACTAATGCAATTTTATTCGTCTTTATTCGACACATTTTATGTCTAAAAAATTTACCGGTCAAAGTCGTATAGGTGGTAGGTACCAACAAATAATATTATTATTTTCATGATTTGGGTGGTGATATTTTCATCAATGTGTTATTTATTATAAAAATTAACGTTGAAAATCACCAAATCTCACTGAAGCTTATAACATAATATTATAAGTGCACATTGTGTTAGGTAGGTACTCATATAGCTTACGAAATTATGACTGATTTAACTAATGTTCAATACGCAATTACATCAGTATAATGCAATAAATATTATATGGTGATACCTACCGATCGATGGTATTGTATAAATTATTGACCGATTAAAATGTAATATTATAGTATATATTGACTAATGTTTTATGTACACACACGACACATACATGTATACATATTATATATTATATATATATGTATATTCATACATACATTTAATTAATTTATATTTTAATATAACCTATAAGTAATGTAAAACCTCTAAATTCGGGACACCCTTGATAGCCGAAATTATGCTGTTATTTAAAGGTGTCCGTTAAGAGAAGTCTCTCTAAACCTGTCAGATTAGGTATTTTCAATTTTGTTTTCTCACGTTATAGCTAACACGGGAAGACGCGATGAAGTGCAAGTTGCATACTTGCCAATTATTTTGGGTATATCTAATTATCTACACATCAAGACACATTTAATACTTTTTTTCGTCGAAAATCTTAATTCTTACAGATAATATGTTTATATGGTTCAATAGTCAAAATAGTTTTCATAATTATTTGTAATTTTATGAATTTATTTAGAACATTGTTAACATTGTATTATTTAGACACATTACTTCAATATTTTTTGAACATATATTTATAATGAGAGAAAGAAGATAATTTTAAACGTTATAGGACTAATAGCTATAACATTGAATATTGATAATAAATAATAAATATTCAATTACTATTATTATTAAGAGCTAAAACTTGTAACTGATATGCAACATATATTAGACAATTATTTAAAAACACTGATAGTATATTACACTATTATAATATTATGTAAATTTAATTAAGATAAAAAATATGTCACTTATAATGTATAGTCTACTTATTTTCAATGAGTTGTATTTAAACTTAAAATAATGCAAAATTAGATATTTATTTAAAATATCACGGGTAAGTTTGTCACGTATAATAGTGTACATCGGTAAAAATCATATATATGTGTTAATACATTTTCTATCTATAAATGTTGTATATTATGTACCTAGGTAGTTTATATTGATTAAAATATTAGTATATTAAAAATCAATAAAAATTAATTTAAAAAACTTTCATAGTAAATTTAATAAATAAAAAACGAGTAAAACGTAATTTATAAAATTCATAATTTTTATAAAAATTTGTTTTATTTTATTTATTGATATATTTCATTGAAACATTACATATCAATAAATTTATGACTTGTCCAATGGGCTGATGCCTGCGATTTTTGTATCCAATGGCTCATTCAACACCTCCGCGATTACAATTCGGTAGTATTTAAATATTTGTCTTTTATGTTATATATTGACTTTTATTTTCTTATATACCTATGTTTTAAAAAATAAACTTAAGGCGATAGCTATGGACTATAAGTATGACGAAATTTAATTCAAATAGATAAAATATTAGAAATTTATGTAGGTGCTTATTGGTAATGTGAAATTTCAAACTACTAGGTCTAGCCTACCTATACATCATTGCAGCGTACTATGGGGGGTTAGTATAGCTTTTTCATGATTAGCATTACTGGCTACTACGTGAGTGATATGTGATTTTGAAGGCTTAGAAATGATTTCTATAGAACAGTTGGACACATGGTGTGATTTAATAAAATAGGTAAGCTACTGTATTTGATAATATCTTCTTTAATAATTATTTTTTATATCTTCTAAAATTCATAATTTTATATTTATTATTTTAATAAATAAAATATAGCTATATAAGCATTATTTATATATATATTATTTAAGAAATCTGATATAAATAAGTTTAAACCAATAACATCTTATTTTGTTTAAATCCTTTTTTTTTCTTTAGGGCGAGGAAGGATTTTCAGTTTTTAATTTATTAATGTAATTAATCAGTAAACAAGCACAATAAATATTACAATAAGATTAATATTTTTTAAATGCTTTTAAAAAAGCATTATAGTTCACAACAAAACATGTATTTATTATGGCATAGGTTAAATCAAGATAACCAACAGTCTACAAATTTTGTTTTATAATGTGCTTATAAATCGATTTTAAATAGTAAAGGCTTATCAAAAATCAGAACACAATTATTTATCAGTTATTATACATCTATTTTTTTTCGTGTGTGGCTATAACACAATATGTGCTAATAAGTTTATGAAGAACAACTTAATAAGTACATAGTTTAAATTTATATCAGTATCTACATAAAAAAAATAATTATATATTTAATAATAATTATAGTCGAGATAAATTTTATATTTTAGATTCTGAGCGGAGCGAACAATATTATATTGTTTTCACAGTTATGTTTGTTTAACATCACCTTTAGGAGCAACAAAAACACTTTAATCTATAGCATTAAGGGTGGTTTCTGTTTGAAAATTGAATTATTTTGGTATTTAGTAGGATGTAAAAAATTCCCAGTTACTTTTACAATAATCAGCAAAATATTGAAAATAAATATGAGAATATGGAAATATTAATAATGCAACATCAGTTTATAATCAAATTTATTTTGTTTTTATATTGTAATTAAAGAAAAAATAATCTTTACGTTATTAGGGTTAAGTTAAAACTGAAAGATAGTTCTATTTAATTAAAAAAATATGCAATTATCAGTAGACAAAACTTCACAAATTTTATAATATTTTTATAATTATTATATACTTGCGTATAAGAAACAATAGCTTTATTACTAGACTTCATCCTTGTTAAAATTAATCTTTCTATCTATCGTTTTCTGTTTTGCTTCAATTTAAATATATAATAGGTATAAACATTGCAATTACGATGAATAATTTTAACATTTTGCACTTTATAATTTTGGACATACATATCTCTGATATAAACACAAAATTAATGAAAAGCTTAAGTACGTAAATTCATTATCGTTAAGATTGATATTCGTCAATGCATAAAATTTATCTACATAAAAAATGAATCCAGAATTAATCTAGAAACTGTAAGTTATTATTGCAAGTCATAACAAATAACTGTTTAAATCAATTGTTCATGCGAATTTATAACTAAGAAAGATAAAATTAAATATTTTGGTATAATTATAGACCAATATTTGAAATGGGATCTTTAAGTCAATAACATTTTAATTAGATAATAAAAACTAATTCACCTCTTTTTAGTAGAAAAACATTTTTAAAATATAAATGTACTTAAAATAACTTATTTCATACTAATAAAATTTATAATAAAATATGATATCATAGCATGGGGTGGTTGCACATTTCATTAAATAATAATTTTTTAATAGCTCATAAAAATGTTATTAAAAAAACCAATACCTATCTTTCATAACAATTATTTAAAGAATTTAAAGTATTAAATATTAAACTTCTGTATCATATAGTAAATCTAATCAATATTCATTTAAAAACAAAACGATTAAATATAAACACAATAATTATAACATATACCTACGTAATAATTACAATTTAATAATACTCCTTATAACTTATTCATGCTATTAAAGTATGCAGATATTTGATACCAAGTAGATTAAAACTACTTAACAATGCACCAGTCGATGTTCTAAACAACAAGTTAAGATATGTATTTAAGAAATTATTAGAAAAAAGATTACTTTAAAAATGTAAACAAACGATATAATATTTTAGTGATTATCTTTATGTCTACATATACGTCTATACGTCTATATGAATTTAATATATTTACAATTATTTATCTTAAATGTAGGTATACACATTTATTGATTTTTTTTCAATTTACTTTGCGTATTATATTATTAGTTTAAAAGAAAATTATACTTACTAAACATTTTGATTAGTTTCTTTTGAATTTCCAATAA